CCCCAAAACCCCAAAACCCCAAAACCCCTCCGAAAATAAAAATTATTGAAACTCAATGTCACTTGTATGAATTAACGACAATTTCTTCACATTGAAAAGGAATGTGAAGTCAGCCCACAAGGGTAAGTCTCCCTCTGACTCTCTAGATCGGCTCAAGAGCGAGGAAAGGATCCGGGAACTGACCGATGAGAAAGCCCTGCTGCTTAAGAGTAAGAACAAGCAGATTAATGAGCTGACCGATAAGTTATAAATCAGCGAGATTTGGAAATCAGTATGCTCTAGTTAATCCTTCAGGGAATCTTAAGCAAGTAATTGAAGGCCTCAAAGACGAGATGGCCCAGAACAAGGAAGTCTATTTGAAATAAGATAGAACAACAGAATGAGGTTATATCTGACACTGAGTTCAGAATGAAATAAGCTCGAACTTGATACCAAAATCGAACAGTAAGTTGTCTATTCTCGAGGTTTAGCGACACCACAGACTTTGAGAAAATGGTCAATGAACAGTTCAACTTTAAAGATACTGTGGAATCTGTAAGTAACAGTAACTAAAGGTATTTAGATCTCCTTCCCAATGAGACCTGATCGAACCAGATATGAAGTAAAGGAAGGAAGTAAGGAGAGTAAGAAGGAGAAGATTCTCAGATCTCCCCATATCATTTCAACGCTAACTCGTGGTAAGGAGACGAGATTAAGCATATAGTTGGGTTAACCCACAGCGATCTTGAGTTAGAGATTCTACAACAGGATGAAGTTCTAGATTTCTTCTTGGAATTGGCAAATACGACTAGGGAAATCATGAATGACAGAAAGATTCCAAAGAGAGTTTGATATCAATGCTCTGTTTTGAAGAAAAAGATGTCAAAGCTCATAAATATCCTTTCAAAAGTAAATTTTTTTATCATCATTTAGCCTTCAAGTGAAATGAATGCATTAAGAGAATTAATTTCATAGTCAATTTTGAAGGAGAAAAAGGGGTTTTGGGGTTTTGGGGTTTTGGGG